CTGCCTGTTGGGCGGGTCATCGATCTGGCACATCTTTAGCACGTAGCGGCGAGAAACGCGGCGTTATCGTCTTATTTATACCGGCGTTGCGGCTTTCACGTAACGCGTGCATCGTGCTTTCCTTTCCTTCCTTTTTCCTTCCTCTCGATTTAATCTCGTCTATTACGGTACACGCTGGATTTAAACAAGTTCCTTTATTATTATCGGCCTTGTTCAACAGACTTATCCTCAACTTTGCGCTCCGCTACACGCCCAGATTTCAATATCAATCCGTGTAACCGAGAGAAAAAAGAAAAGAAAAAACTATCTCGCATTTTCTTAGACAGATCTTCGGGTTCGATTCGAAAGACTTTATCCAATTCGCGCCAAGGCGGTGTTCTTCGGTAATAAATTCAGTATTTCGTGTAAATTTCATGTGTGAGGTGTATGCAGAGCAAAATGAATTTCCCAAGGTACAGTCATGCAAAATAATGTATTTTCAATTTTATCCTTGAATAATAATGATAACGTAAGTTTAGTGAAAACTTTCTGATAAAATTGTCTTCATTTCACTTCGATATAATTTGTACGTTTATTAATTATATTGTTGCGGACAAAGTGGCCAAATTCGTAATATTCGAATAATTCTTTGCAATACAAACAGTCATCAAAATCTGTTGTGTTTTACTAGCTTCAAACTTCAATTCGACATTCGACAAATATTACCTGACAGTATTTTTAATCATCAGATTCTGAATGATTTTTACGCATTTCTTTCACTGCAATCATTTCGTTCTTCAGAAATCTATCAATTTTAATTCAATGTTTCCTCGGAATAATTCAAAACTGAATACCAAGTCCTCGTCTCAAGAAAGAAATCACGTTCGCGCAATTGTTTAACCTAACGTCTCCGATATATCGTTAGCCGTTAACACGCGATACAACGTCTATCATTACTCCCGATAAGATCCACGCTGAGAGATTGAAAGATTTTCAGAAATACTCGCGAAAATAATATGGAGTATGATTTTTTCGCCAGGCATCCGCCTAATGGATCGAAAGGTATGTATCTCAAGGTGGTGATTTCGACGGCGGTCTACAGTCTGCCGGTAATTTTCCGCGCATTATACCTCTCGTTACACCCACGCGAGCAGATCAACGATTCAGCTCGACGCGTCTTTAACTCTCGACGTGACTGCGCATTATCGCTTCTATATTACGTCCTATATTACGTGGGTTCTTCCCCCGTTCAACTAGCGCCCCGTTTCTTTTTTTATTCGAACGTCAAATATGCAAACGATCGGCCGATCTTCGATCCAGCCCTCGACTTTTGCTCGTTAGTTTCGCCAGTAATGCGAACAGTGATCTGTCGCTTGCCAGAAGTTAAATGAATTTTACAATTTTTGCAGCTAATCTTCTCCTATTATATATAGGCGAAGAAGGGACATTTTTCCTAAATATTTCACTTTCTCAAGTAGATATCATCCCTTTCGTCTAATAATAACTTTATTCATTGTCGCGACAGATTTCAAAAAATCGACGAGTGAATATTTCTATAATGACAGAACGTAACGTTATTTTGTCGATTTTCGGAAATCCAAAATTGTTTAACCCTTTTAGAGCTAAGTATCTTCCAGGATGCGATAAAAGTTTTTTTTTTCTATGACTATGTCGACGTATACACGAGTAAAATTTGGTAGATAGATTTTTGTGGAAAAAGATATAACGTGTTAAAATTGAAAATATAGAACTTAAACATAAATTTATTGTTCAGTTAGTTAATAACTTGTTGCTCCTCTGTTACGAATATAATAATAAATACTAACACGACTTAACAAACTGTGAATAATTCGACCAGCTTGCAAATCGTAAAAATATACGGAAGCAATTCTCTCATTTCACTGTATAAAACTATTACTAGCAGAACGCGATTAGTTTGTAACTTTTTATACAAATTTTTATAAATTCACTTTTATTTTATTTCGAATATCTGGTTATGCTGTAGGCAACTTTTGCATAAACGCATAAGAATCCGCAGTTGCGACAACTGGAAATAGGCGTAAGATCTGAAATATTGAATTCAATGACAAAATCGGTATATAGCTACAACCGCCAAATACTGATTAATAACTTGCCATACACGTATGTACACGTTATGCGTGTAATACAGCCTATGATTACAGTCTCATAATTATCCCCTATATTTCTCTCGTAATTATCCGAAATGACAAGAACCAATAATTTTCCTTCTGCAACGCGCATACAGATAATACCAGAAGAAGAAGAAGAAAAAGGAAACGAGCGACGCATGGGTGGGACGTGGAATTTTTAAATACAATAATCTCGAACGGCGACAAGCAACAGGCAAAGATTTATGCGCGTCCCCTCGCTGATGGAGCAATCATTTATTCTCCTTATTAATTGATTATTCAGTTCCGATCGGGTACGAGAGATGATATACGACTTCGGTACGGTACTCCGTTAAGAACAGGAATCTACTAGTCGCGCGTGCATAAATTACCGACGTTGATAACGAAACCCACGCATTTTCTCGAGATCTTGTTTTTCTTCGACTGCACGGTGTCACCGTAGCCGACGCTGATACCTGGAACGGCTAAATAAAGTCGGGAGGAAAGCGTTTCTTCACACTTTCAGTCGAGAAAGAAAGAAACAAAGAAAGAAAGAAGAGATAAAAGAAAGTGCCCAGACGATAACGAAATGAATTATATTCATGAATAATTCCGTGCAGTTCCCATTCCATGAACTCGAGAAGAAGATCGTTGGTAATCGCTATCGTCGTTCACTATACACTACTCGTAGGAATGAGTATCGAACGGGCATCGCGAGAAATTCTGTTCTGCTACCGCGAATTATTTAACTTGATGGCTATTATACTACGACACGGTCAATTTGCAATGAAAGATTTCGAATTTGTAACTCGTTTCTATACATCTTGTGGCCGTGGAACCGAACGATAGTAAAGAGAAATTAATTTATGAAGATGAAGAAAGGTGTGCGTGCAAGAGATTGGCAATAACTAACTATTGGAAAACTAACAAATTAATTTATCTGGCTCTTCAAGTGAAAGAAACACAAATTATCGATCATTTCTTAGAGTCCAGAAAGAAGAAACTAAAACATTGAAAGAAATTTCATGTAAAATTCCTATCATTCAAGTAACTCTTTCTCTCCCAATATGCCAAAAGTTGGAAAATGCCTAAACGTTACTAAACGTTGCTCCAAAAAATATTGTACATTAAAAGGAAAACTTTCACTGTCCGATCGCACAGATTAACCGTTTCTTTCCAAAAATCTATTTCGAGAACACGTTCTTGAACGCGACCCAAAGTCTCCAAAACTTTCCCTAGACAGAGAGAAGGGGAAAAGAGAGATATGCCTGAAAATCCGCGGGGCCAGGTTATCCAGAAACGGCCGGGAAAGAATGCGGTTGTGCACGGAGGTGCAGGTTGCACCGTTGCATCGAGCGGTGAAGAATTAGATGAAGATAGAGGAACGTGATGCATGATCACGATTAGTCCAATAGGCAGGGACCCATTACAGATAAATGTTTACGAGGGTAGGTACCGATACGGCGATACGTTTGCTACAGATAATAAGTATATTACGTGCGTTACAATCGATATGTAAAGCCTCGGTCGAGATTAATTCACGATCGCAATTAGGAACTTTGAAATATTTTATGACGAGAAAAACCAGATTTTCGCTTATCGGGATGGTATGTAGAGATTCATGAAAGTATTTAAATACTTGTAGAAAATAAATAAATATAATATTATAATTATATATATATGATGCAACATTTTTACAGCATATATAATACTTGCACATGATGCAATATTCAGGAGTAAATGTTTCAATTTTTACTTTAATTAATATCACGGATAATAATTGATTATTTAAATACTTCCAGCATTTCTCTATGTATTTCTCCGGATTTGTTTCAAAATATATGAATATAATCATATTGTTCCAATGTCATTAAATTAGAATATTTCGTTCATTAAATAGAATATTTCTTAATATATTCGTAAGTATTTGCTTAAGTGTCCGAATGCTTTCTAATACATACTTTCTAAAACATAATATAATTGAAAACATCACTTGGATTGTACGAACGTGAACGTAGGCGAAATAAATCGTTTTTTTTTTTCTCGTATCAAAGTGACAATAACCCACTAGCAGTGGAGAAAATTTTTAATTAAGCGCCCGAGAAACAACTGCTAACTGACATGCGCGGAAATACAGCGCCATTTTTGAACATCGAGTAGCAGTGATTAACGACATTTTCTAAATTGACACCCCATTTTTATTGGAGATATTATTTTTACAATTGATAAAAAGAATGACTTGAAAATTTATTCAACTAAATGAAATTGCCTCCTTGTCGTTCATTTAATTATCAAAACGACGCATCAAAAAACGTAAATTACTGTATATGGTGTCGTGTCGCGACGAGTTGCGTGTGTCCAGTTACATCAACTCCCCCCGCCCCTACGTCTAGAATACTAATGTTTGTTTACTTTTTATCCAATATGTCGTTCGAATATATTCGAAAAGGCTAATCGAATGTAATCGAACACTGCGCGAGTTCTCGAGGAACAGTCGCATAATCGACATTTGTATATTGCCTCGTAATTCAGTATAGCGAACTTCATTCAAAAAGGGGCGCTGCTGTTGATCGAAGAAAACAAAAATGGCGGGAAGAGGTTATGAGTGCAAGTTAAAAAAAAAAAATATTTGGATACTTACTTGCGAACCACCCGTTACATCCAGGGACGTTGATGTTCATAGCGTACCGAATGTACGTGAAAACGTGTAATTTTGCGAATACACCGCTTCTCCTCTCAAAGAAACTTCGTTTGTACACCGTCTATACGCGTTAACTCGAATCGACACTTTGATTTATCTGGACGCGCGAACTCGACCGTACGAATATTCCGAAAGAACGGGTTCACCGTGTTCGATGTGTTCGATCCCTGTCGACAGTCAGCTGGAATCGGTCAGGATTCGTCGAGAACAGAGTGGTCACAGTATAGCTCGTGCCCCGGCAACATCAGCTTCGCCACTATTCCCTGGTTGCACATGTTCCACGCTATTAAGCAGTCTTCACACTGACCACGTTCCCGCACGTCAACATGATCGAAAGTGTAGACGAAATAGTGCACGATTGATTCAACGCGGCGGCCTGTCGCACGTAATTGACGAGTGATCGGATATCGATTAATCGACATCGATCGATCTTGATCGACCACCAGTGACATCTAACTCTCCAATTTCCGTGCTACCTGAAGGGTGCGTGCCATCTTTTATTTATTCGACGAGCAAATCGATAGTTATGGAATAGATCGATATCAATTCGATAGAATTCTAACACAACCGTCTTTTCGTACGATTGATCGAACGATATATTCGTGAAATTTTTACAAGTTCCTTTACAAGTCATGAATCAATAGTAATCAATTGGCATATTTTATAAATTATTTAATTATCATATTTTTGGTTATCACAAAAAATTATGAAATTATAAAACAGAAACTTATAGGTTACGACTTATCGATTGTTAATTACTTTAAATTATATCGATATAATTTATCGGTCTGTTAATTACTTGGTTTAACTGTTAATGAAAGTAAAAAATCTATAGCTTGCAATTTGCTATTTAATAAGGAGAGAAATCGAGAAAATTTCCTACGTAATATCACGATCTAATTTGGAGAATGTTTGGTGTTTGCATGAAGCGTGTGTTTGCATGGAGGTCAACCGTCAAATTTCGTCGCGACCCGATGTTTTCATCTTCCTTGAATGATCGAGCCACCTTTCACGACATAATACACAGTTGATTATCGTTTACGTGGGTTTTGCCAACTCAAATACCGACCGTTTTAAACGATCAAAATACAAGATGAATCCGTGACACGCGATAATCGTGACAGTTCGGTATGAGCAGATGCGAATTCTTGGCGCGCGACAAACAACGTAATGACCGCCGATGTTGACGGCGACGTGCTTCTACTACCAAGAAAACAAAACTAATTGCCACGGCGAATAGAACGTCTCTGTCCTCTTCTATTTTTTCCACACGAAACTCGCGACACACGTTCATTCACGGGTTGCGCGTACAACTGACATTCCAGGTCAAGTGCGTTTGTCGAATTTTGATTCGTCAATTTGACACGGCAGAGAGGGGAGGGGAGAAAGTCATCGTCACACTTTTCGAATAGAACATACGAATTTCGCGCCTTAACCTAAAATTGTAATTTCGTTGAAAGCTTAAGTAAAATTTTTTTACTAATAATTTTATACGCGTGAACGTGTATTTCGATTTCACGATGAATGTTTCATGGTTATCAACTAAGTTACACCGCGATAAAATGCTGAAATTACACTTTCAAGAGGGAAGGACGAAAAAAAGAAAGAAAAAGAAACAGACAAGTATTCGGCTCCGGAATATCTCCATGCAGAAACACGCTTTATCAGTACAACGAATCGAATAAAGAAACGTTTCTAAAGTTTACCTCTGACCGGGCAGCAGGTCCTCGCCGGCCGATCGAACTCGAAAGTTCCTTGCCGGCAACTCTCGACTCGATTCGCTAACTGATTTCAAGATCGTTTCCGTCGAATCGAAAATGCTAGCCGCCGCTGTAACCGAGCCGCTCAATCGAACGTACAAAGGGCAATGTTATACTTCTCGATACGCGGAAGATTCATGATTTTCAGAGAGCGCGGAGAACAACGAGCACCGTTCAATGCGTGGATCCCGAATTTACGTTAATTTACGCGTTAAGGCAAAGTACCGCGATTGTTATTCGATGTGTGGCCGACCTAAGAAGAGTACTTAGTTCGCGTAGTTGAGTGCGGGCGTAATAAGACTGCCTGCTGACGGCGGTAGCGCGGTTCGTGCCCGCAAGCGGCAGCAGCCAGGGAAGCCCCTCTACCATGGCACTCTCCTGCAACTCCTCCAAGCAAGCCAGCCAGCCATCCGTGCCGACTTGCCTACCTACCAGGCCTCCGAGTAGGCCCCGGCACACCGCAGTTCCATCCTGAATCGAAATGGTCGCTTTGCTTTCCGTGCTTTGCGCGAATCACGCAAGGGCCCCTTGGGCACGCTTCGCTTCGGGGGACCGAAAGGGGTCCCCACGTGCTGGATTTCGCCTCTGGCTGCACGGCCGATAAAGAAGTCTAATATATCATATATACGTTCCCCCTAACAATAAACTTCTTTAAATTTACTTTAAGATGTATTAGTTTATAAACCATCTTCTTTCGACAAATAAATTTATAGAAACGTTTGTCTTTTGAAAATTATTTAGTTCAATGTTATACCTGTAGTGTAGTAAAATTGAAGAGCTGGTAAAATGTCGAGTCTTTGAGTTTGGCTTCTGAAGAAGTCACAACTGGCTTAAAACAACGTAACTTTGATTCTAGTTTCTTCGACGCTGTTGTCAAGCAAACGGTGATCCAAGTTTCTTTAAATTCTTTAGAAGTATTGGTTTCGTAATTAAAGCTTTCTCGATCGAGTCTACCAACACCTGTTCCTGATTGTACGGCGGAAACGGCATTCCTTCGAGATTATACACATATACAACACCCTTGACATCCGCTGCCACAAGTTGATTACCGTTCGCCGTAAAATCAACCATAACAAACCTATCGCTATTAGGTGAAATTGTCACCGACGCAGGCTTGTATGTCTTCCGTCTGATATCCCATATACAAATCTCGTTGTTGACGATGCTCACTACGATTGTAGAATGGATGGGAGACCAAGCTGCGTATCGAACGCACGCCATAGTCGTAGACAATGTAATTAGTGGCTCTGTCAGTCCTTCAGCCCAGATTCGAATGCACCAGTCGGCGCCGCACGTTAAGAAAATTTTTGGACAGAATGGAGAAAACATCATCGAGTAAATTGGTCCATCGTGCGCCAAAAAACTGTCTATATGCTGATATAAATAATTCGTGGAGCACTTATAAATGCAACCTTCGTCCGTGCCAACGAAATAAATGGTGCTTAAAGTAGGATGTTTCCGTAGCACTAATGCTCCAGGACTTCGATTAATTGATGTATGATATTGGTTACACGGGACCGTCCTGGTGACACCCGGCAGCGTTCCCTCTATCCTGTAAATCTTCATTATCGTCGACGAAGTGAAATCTTCGACGTATCGGTAGCAGAACACGCAACCATCCTGATTGCACGTATAAATCTGTTCTTGGTATTCGTATTGCTCGTCACCTGGCCACCATTGAACTTGCCAATGCGGAGAAGCCGAGGAAGACGTGGCCTTTTCGCTCTGTCGTACAACGTTGAGATCTGGGTTGCTCACGTCGATTACCTTGATCTCGCCGTTGTAGTAACCGATAGCAAGTAAATTCGGTCGTTCGCGACTCCAATCGAGATCTGAGACCGGGCTGTTGAAAGTATACCAAAGAGCCGGTACACCAGGATTCTTCGCAGACCAGAGTAACACCAGACCGTCTTTAATATCTGAATTAACTCGTGCTCCGTATCCAACGGCTAAAATATTTCTATTAACGTAATTCCAACGGAAGGAGGATACCAGTCTTCCCGAAGCTTCTTCACAATC